AAGGAAGGAAGGAAGGAAGGAAGGAAGGAAGGAAGGAAGGAAGGAAGAAGGAAAAAAAGAAAGGCAGGCAGGCAGACAGGTCAGCTGGCCCTGTCTCAAAACATAAAAATGATGATAATTTTACTATTTTACTTATTAGCTCAGTGGTGGACAATGTTGAAATAACAGAGGGCAAAGAGAACCCTTAACACTTAATTAAGAAAGGACCTAGTGGCATTGTTGGCAGTAATATGAAGTCACCCAAATCTCACCCAGACAATCATCTCTATTCTATATCCCATTCTTCACCACCACACAGTGCTCAAGTGCCAGCAACGATGCTAACAGGCACCAGTCTCTAATCATGAATCTCATCAAGGCTGTCAAGAATTTCCAGAAATTCATGTATATAAAAGGACTTTATAAATTTGGAGGGAAAGAAAAGTCATGCAAAAAGACTAAGAACATTAGTGCTTGAGAGCTGGACACTGAAAGACATGAACTTTTCAAAGGAATCTAAACACCCACAAAGCAGAAACAATGGTGGTTTTTAAGAAGGCTGCCACACAGCAGACTGACTAAGGAACCACTGCTCCACACTGGGGTAGGACTGGTGCTGAGACCTAGAAACTCTCCAGAGCACATGCAAGCAGGCACTTTCAAGGAGGCAAAAATAATAGCAGAGTCCAATGTCTATTTAGAATCTACTTGATTCAAACAATTTTGACTAAAAATCAGAGACACATGCAACAATATTTTCAGACAGTTTACCTACTCATACATAAAAGGAAATTATGTTCAAAGAGTATGGGAGTTTGATTTTTTTTTTTTATTGGTGGTGGTCTGTTTTGGTTTGTTGGTGGGGGGGGGGGGGTGTTTTGCTTTGTTTTGTTGGTTTGGTTTGATTTTGTTTCTGAAACAGGATCTCACTTTATTCCAGACTGGCCTCAAACTCTCAACAATCCTCCTGCCTCAGTCTCTCAAGTGCTAGGATTACAAGCAGAAGTCACCATGCATGGCCAAAGGATTTCAATGACAGACATATGACACATTTTGTTACTCCTCAAGGAACTTAAACTAGAACTTGTTTGATTCCTACTCTGGTTTCCTATCATTTAACAGCTGGTGCTTTGAGGGTGAACACAGTGTACCTCACAGTGTAGTTGACTAGTTGGCAAGACAGAAAGCTCTCTGAAGAAGGCAGACTATCTAGTCATTGAGTCCTTACAGGTGCCAGACCCTTGCTACATGAAATCTACATACTAGCTTCTTTATTTCTCACAGGAATAGGAAATGCACATTATTTTGCCAATTTTCCAATTAAGAAACTGAGACTCAGACAAAGCATGCAACATAGTAGATCAAAGATTGAAACCTGGATTCTCTGCCTCCAATACCTTCACTTTTAACCACCATACCAGACTGATTTCTGTGTAACATTATTTTTTATCTTGGCATCTGTAAGAGAAGTAAATCTGGCAGCACCGTGAGCTCCACAGAATGCCCAAACACTGAAGCTCTGGTGCAGTGTGTGGGCTCACACCTGTATTCCCGGACTCACAAGGCTGCCTAAGGAAGACTGCCATGAATTTAAGCCCAACTGAGTTATGAGTTAATTCCAGGCTAGCCTGGCCTACACACTGAGATCTTGTTTCTAAAAAGCAAAACAAATAAAATACAATTTCTTAAGAAGCTGAAATTCTTAATTCTGATAGAAGGTTGGGTAGTAAACCACATCACCAACCCCAATGTCACGCTCTTTGAATTCAAATTCTATGGTCTCCCACCAGAAGTACGGTTTTAGAATGTAAGCTCTGTAAGGGTCTGAAATTCTGTCTTCTTTGTTGATGTATAAAGGCCTAGAACACATACTAAGCACTCAATAAACAGGTAATAAATAAAACAAGGAGTTAAAGCTGCTGCTTTTGATTGTGTGGACTTGAAAGGGTTTTACCATCTCATACCTCAGTTTCCTCATGTTCTCAAATGGCAAAAATACTTCCTGGAGGGATGTGACAATTACACCCGACCACTCCTTGGGATGCGATGGAGCATAATGAACATCCAAAGTAAACTGTTATCATATCACTACTATTATACGTCATCTAATTTTGTCTAATTTTTTTCATCATAATCAGATACTATTTCCACTATGAAGATACCGAAGTCAGAAAACTACTTCTACCTTCAGATCTGCTACCACCTAGCTGTGTGACCTTGAACAAACCTCTTCAGTTCTCTACATTCTCCTCAGCTGTAAACTGAGGGACTAAACCAAATCATTCCCAAAAGCATTCATGGGGCACCTCTTTGAGATAGAAATCAGGGTCAACCACCTACAAAACTCTATACTGCTGAGTAGAGGCAATGGAAAAAATATTGACACAAAATAAAACAGTCTCTAGTCTGCGACAGGGTTGAACAGAAACTCCAAATAGCTAACTGCATTACATCATCTCAATGAACAATATCTGTAAATGCACAAAGTATTTAATTTTGAGACACTCATAAGAAATTGTTACCAAATAAAAAGAAAAATCAGCAAATTCTGATACCTGTCAGCACTGAACCTTAAAAAAGAACAAGGGAAAAAAAAAATCTAAAAATCACTGTGCCTCAGTCAAATTGTATGCTTCTGTAGAACCACCTGGAAAAGTCAAAGTTATTAACACTCCCTATGACAACAGTTACGAATAGGACACATTTTTTAATGACGTATCTGTCTAAAACTGTCTGGGGGCATTGCAAGAGCAGAATATAGTGCATCTGGACAGGACATAGAGGCCAGTGGTCATTGTTTACAAAAACAGGCTGAGATTATGAATAGTGAGTGACAAGAGGCCAAGACCGCAGTTATAACTCAAAACCACACCTCTCTCAATTCCAATCCAGCTGGAGCTATCATCACTCAACTCCACCATCCTTGTAATAAAACTGACCAATATTTACAGTCAAGTGGATTGAAGGTTCTTTACGGCACCTCCTACATTGACCAAACTGATAATAAATACACACACACACACACACACACACACACACACACACACATATATATTTTAAAATCCTGCAGACACAATGATGATTTCAAACTACCTTTCAACCTTCCAAGAGATAAAAGGACTACCCATTTCACACTCTACATCTGACCCATGACCAAGGCAAGCATTAAAGGGGAGTCATGGTCTTTCCCAAGTCCTCTAAGATAGGAAAAGGTCTTCTAACATTGGTGCAGGGAAAGAAGGAGGGGCCCCTCCCTCTGTACTCTGAAACAAAGGAAAAACTCAGAGCTCCAACCATGTGGTGTAACATTCAAGGCCACCCACCTCCCCTACTTCCCCGCTAAGGTCTCAATGGTTTGAAGCCACATGGCTCTTTCCAGGGACGGGTCAGGAAGGGGTAGTGCCTTGCACAAACACAAGCTAGGGCTCCTTCACAGGCATGGACACCTCTTAAGAGGAATGCTGTTTAAGAAAAAGCAATTTGGGTATGGCCTTTGATTTGAGAAGCCAATTTAAGCAGTGGACTAGGTAGAGAGGCACACTTGGTTTCCCCAGATCTACATTGTGCCTTACCCCTTCACGTTTTTGATGAAAGGGAAACGGACCTTTAAAAGCATGTATTCTGGAGCAGAGGGTGACAGCACAGAAGGGCTAAACAATTATGTCTTCCTATTTCCCAGTTGCAGCACTTCTCTGACAAATCCTAAAAACCAACTCTTTCAGGGTTAGCTGCCAATGGAAGCCAGCTGGAATGGTCTTCTTTCTAGTCTGTGATCTTTGATTGTATGCAGGGTGACCATGGGTCAGACAAGTACAAGGTGCACCCAATATGGCTAAGGACTTCCTGAATCCGGTGTCATGGCAAACCTCATGTACACCAGAAAAACCCCACCTCTCCCAGGTTTCTCCAAATGGTATACCCTTCTCAAGGTTGCCTTTCTGTCTGGACTTCTCTTCAACCTTTGAAATAAACACCTGTCAGATTTCAGCTGTCCTTCAAGGAAGCCTGACTCAAGACACCCAAAGGCGAATTGCAGCTTTTTTTTCTCTCTGGGAGACTCTCCAGCCCCTCCCCCACTCAGCCTTTGGGAGAGAACTGCCAAAATAATGGCCAAAATAATGCCAAAATAATGGCCAGCCCCATTTCCAGTGTTTGTGGCCCCTGACACTGTTGAACATTCCAAGACTCTGGTCCACCTACGAAACCACCTCTGGGGGTCAACTTGCCACCTGCTCCACCCAAGAAACGAACGCCCTGAAAATTGGGGTGGAAACGCATGCGTCCCCGGTCTGCAGAGCATATGCACTATGCTAATTTTCAAAATCCTTACCTTTGACCTGAGTATCGTACTCTGCGATGATCTCCTTATCCTTTTTGAATTTGGCTGGAGACGTCATGTTTTCCTTCTTTCTTCCAAATTCGAATTGTGACTTGATAGATCCACGAGAAAAATCCAACCACCGAAATCAATTCCTCCAAGGCCACTTCTCCCACGGGCAGAGAAAGCCCCCGCGGTGGTCTCCAGAGCTCCGGGGTAACACGGACGGCAGGATGGGCAGCCGGCTACCGCACACACATGCAGGCTGTGGGCGCTGAGGCCGGCGGGGAGGGGGGCGGCGGCGGCTGGCTTGTGTACTAAAGCCCTAGCCACAGCCGCAGCCTCAGCCTGGAGAACTGCAGCGCCCTGAGGCTGGCCTGGGGTCTGACATCAACGACAGAGGCGGGGAGTGGAAGTCCTTCCGCACAACATGGTGTATGGATGCGGGGGTGTGGACGCGCCCAACTGTGTCCCCGGGAGGGAGTGGGTTTGTCTCGGGGTGCCAGGGGAGGGCTAGGCGTGCTTCGCGGGTTTTTTTGTGGTACCAGCTCAGAGATGCTGCAAATCAAATCCCAAAAGGGTGCCGCTGCAGCGCGGAGTGGATCGGAAGTCGTTTGCTCCGGTTCACTAGCCTGTAAATGCATAAAAAGGGGGGGAGGGGGCGATCAGTCCGAGGGCAGATCCTAATCGCAACAGGGGTGGGGTCGGGGATGACACTCGGAGTCCAGCTTTGGCTCATTCATCTCGGCCGAACACCGCCTGCTCGGCCCGAAGACCCGGCATGGCGAGGGAGGGAGGGAGAGAGAGAGAGAGGGAATAAAAAAAAAAAGGTCCCTCCAGATTGTTTTAAGGCAGAAAGAGAGCACTTTGGGAGCGGTAGGCAGCGCGTGCTCCGGGCGGGGACTGCGGCGGGAAAGCAGAGCTGCGGGTGGGGACTGCGGCACCTCGGTGCTTTCCCCCAGCCCAGCTAACCTAAGAGGGGCCCTCCCGCCGAGCCCGCGACGCGGCCCGTGACCTCCTGCTGGGGTACCTCCCAGCCGACTACAGGATCAGTACCAGAGGGTACAAGCCAGACCGGCACAACTTTTCTTCCCCTCCTGCCCCTCCTCCCAGTTGTTTTGTTTTTGGTAACTAGCTTCTCCAGG